TAGCCCATTAGAATCAAGGCAGAGGTGTCAAAGAGCGCTGAGATGAAGGAAAACACATGAGAAGTGGCCCAGAACTCGAGAAATAAGCTCCCTTCCTTGCCCGCTGATTTCTGCATTGATGCGACTCTCATCGGTGCTGCCCTCTTCAACGCTACGCTCTCTCTGCTGAACGGCAGGAGAGAGGTTACCAGCCGGTGGGTGTGCAGCACCGATGGCGCCGCGTGGAGGGCCATGCTAGGTTGCCAGGCATTTCCTTCACTGCCAAATTCCTGTCGGCCCGTATTATTAGAAGCCTGCCTATCTCTACTAGGCAAAATCCCTCTTGTCCACTTTATCGTGGAATCATAGGGCGGAAGTGGTGTAGTGGCAAGTGGCACGCTTACCACGCGAGCGGTCCGGGGATCAAATCCTGGGTCGTGAGTCGCCGGGCCAACCAAGCCTTCCATCCCTCCGGGGTCGGTTAATTGGTACCAGACTTGTCTGGGAGGATAAAAACACTGACTTGTACATCGGCTGGCCCCCGCAAGTCATTGTATAGGCCACATCGCATTCAAACGCCACTACGAATGTACAAATGGAAGTAGAATGCGTGCCGCATCCCAAAAAGGGATTGATCAACGGCAAATGCTTTATCCTTATTAGCTTATATGGAATCATTATTTGGGCATTGGGTGTTGATCAATCCCTCTCGGATAGGCCATGCATTCTACTTTCACTCACAATCGTAATGGCAAAAATAACAATGAATGCGATGTGGCCTATACAATGACTTGCGGGGGCCAGCCGATGTACAAGTCAGTGTTTTTATCCTCCCAGACAAGTCTGGTACCAATTAACCGACCCCGGAGGGATGGAAGGCTTGGTTGGCCCGGGCGACTCACGACCCTTGGTGCTATACAAGTAGGGTGGGCACGCCGCATTTTTTGAACAGAAATGTATGTAAGTGGGACTGCTGCCCGCTACTATACTGTCACGAGAATCGGGGAATTCGTGAGCCAGGGGGAGTGTAGCCAATCTAGGGGGGTGGGGCAGTCACTTGACATGCGTGAAAAGCTGGGCGTGCCCACCCCACTTGTATAGCACCTTTGTCCCTGGCGAGCGTGTGGTAAGCAGCTCACTTGCCACTACAATCGCTTTCGCGCTTTTGAATAGGATGAGGGTAGGTAATTTTTACTTTTCGCAGGGGTTGTAGGTGTCCCACTGCATCTCCATCTTGAAAGCCGGTTCAGTCACACAAACAAGGAACACGAAAAGCTTTCGGTAATGCTTAGGGATGGCTCAGATTTAATTATGCGACAATAAGTCTAGCTCCACAAGGACGTGAGGCTCTTACCAATGGTCAAGATTTCCTTCGAGTGAGCCGGGTTGTGAAATTACGGAACGGGATCTGAAATGGCTTAGCCAATTGACGTCATTGTATGTAAGTGTTAAGCTCGGAAGTAGAAATCGCTTATGAGATGATGGCAAGAGGCGTGTTGCTCAGGAAGTGCAAGCGCCCAAGTGCAAGTGAAATGAATTCGAAACATGAGCAGGGCAAATGATATCAAGCAGATGAGTCAGAAACTGCCACTTCTGCATGCTCGTTCTCAGAGCAACAGCGCTGTGATTCCTGATCAATAGGCCGTCTTATCAGTGCCAAATCATTTACGGGCACATTTTGGAACCTGGCGATGAGCGACACCTCATCACCTAATCGCTTTCCTTGGAATTATTTCTACGGAGGGCGAATTATAGAACGTATGAATTGCTCAAAGACGGACATCAAAGGAAGATTCAGGGTAAATTAATTGAATCAGTATAAGCTGTGTTTAACTGGTGAAAGGTGATGATCTCATCCTTGCCGCCACGCATTAAACTCCCCTCCGTAGTGAATGTGATCAGTCGGTAACCGGCCGGTGCAAAGGCTTGTGCGAATATTCTAGTAAAGCAAGTCCGTTCATATATTTTCTTCCCAGACTGACGGTAAAAACTGTTGAGAGCGTTATTGCTTGGACGTAAAGCGTGGTGGATCCTCCCCACTGTTTCTACTGCTGAGCTGGCTAGCCGTTGTCTGATTGAAACTGAGCTCATACCAAATGCAGATCAAGGTATAGGTGTTCTGGAACCGTTTTTACCATTAGAATCCAGTCCACACACAATCGATTTTGAAGCAACACTCCCAGCAGAAGTCGTGTCGAAGAATCTATTCAGTGGGTGGGATAGAGTAGCCCAAGCACAGATGTGCCGTTGTCGCGGCTCGAAAGTGCGCGACAATGGCGCTAGGGTCTTACAAAGTCAGCTTTTGGCGACTAATCTTAGCATTTGGACGAGTTACGTAGCGCACACCCCATGATACGCAACGTGGATTACGGCGTAGCGGTTGGTTCAAATTAGTTGAACCGTGGAGCAAGCATATTCGCACAACTCGTCCGGCCCCACCCCTACTTATTTCGAGAGAAGTCCTTGTTTAGGACTTCACGGATGGTTTTCTTATCCACAACTCCATTATCGACCGCTGTGACCCCACAAACTCGTTTTGAGAATCTTGGTCTAAGTACTCTCCCGCATTCTTCGTCTCATCAGCATCGATCGAGAAAAAGTAGTAGTCGTGGAATGCATCTTAAAGGCAAAGGTCGGGCTCAGGCACGCTAGAGAAGTAATTCCCGTGCCTGGAGGTTGTATGTGGGTAGCTGCACACATTGCAGCAACTTCCACCTTGAAAAACCCCGTTAAGGCCCCGGGGCGTTCGGTTTCAATCCAGGGCCGCCTGGTCAATCCAGGACCGCCCACCTCCGGAAGTGGTGCGTGGCTGGCATAACGTGTGAAATCAGCTAGGTTGATTGCCGTATCAACCGATAGAACGACTGACATCTCCAGAAAACTTGTTTGTACGTGCCTCTTTCCCCAAGCCAGCCTCCTTCACTGCTAGTGGGAAAGAGGGTTTTGTTAACGGCCTTGTCGACGGTTTTTCTCAGTTTTTTCTCCACTGTCGTTCCACTTCGCATCTCTATACTCAGTTTCAATCGCCATAATACCCCCTTATTGAGCCCGACTTTTGCCTTTAATACATACCCCCTGTTCTACGCTTGAGAGGTCCAAGAGGTAACAGCCGAATGGTAATAGACATTGATGCGAAAGAAAAGAACAAGCGGAAAACGGTACAACAAATGAGCGATACCACGCGATGGTGGATCGACCGGGGCTGTGAGCCGCCCATTTTTTTACGACGTTTTTAGGGCACCTTCTGCCAACTAATAACGTCTCGTTGGGTATTTCAGGATAAAGTTATGTATGAAGACGACGGGACAGGATGATTTTTAAACCCCGGCACTTTTTGCTTTTTCACAAAGGCTGCTACCTATGCTGCATACACCTGATGCCCCACGGAGACTGGATATCACTCAATAGGGCTAACTAAAGTGGAACTACTGTTAAAGGATTAAACTTTGAATCAAAGCGCCGGCCTTAGGCCATCCATATGCACAATCTAACTCTTTGAATCGCCTGGAAATGAAGAAAACCTCGGAAAAACCACTTCAAAATAAAATCCACTTTATTGTTTGAACTTACAATCTATACATAAAATCTTTGAGAATCTGAATTGTTCCTCATCATAAACATTAGAACATGCGATTTGAGAAGAAAAAATGACAGCCAATTCAATTCTACTCTGCCGGATATATTTTGCGGATAGAACTGAACATTACAAGTAATACAATCGCTACACCTGTAGTAATGCTATAGCTGCTGTTACTATGTCAAGAATTCTAGAAATTTTGTGAATCATTTTAAACTATAAATAAATCGCTAAATGCAAACGGGTATGGTGAGCTGAACCCTCACCGCGCCGCGCAAAATTGTCGCATCTCGTGAGCGATAAAATCGCGCGACAATTGGCCGATCCGAGAATGTCGCGCGATTCTGCCGCACCACACCGCGCGCGGCAGGCGGCAGAGTTTATGCTCCCATACAAGCTATAAACGAGTGATTGGAACATGGACATGAAACATCGCAGATTCTCTCAAAATGTGGCTTTGGTAGTGTTTCCAAGGTACAAGGCAACAGACGGATTTGTCAGGCACAATAAGAGTTTAAACGAGGTCCAACTAGACGGCAATTACACTAGATCACTGGAATCTACCTACTTAGTGTTCTAAGATACGCAGATTACCGGAGACGATCTTATTTTCCAGAATTGAACCAGGTGGGATATCGATTCGATCTCCGTGGTTGGCAATGATGATGACCGTTCCCTGGAATAATTATCATCTTGTTTCTTGAAAAAGTCCTTTCATGTGAGCAATTTTCATTTGAAGGCACAGTCTTCAAAAGTTGCATGTAATTTGGGCCAAGGTGCTGAGGAAGGGCATAGGTGCAAAATGGAGATAGTATATGTTATCGCACGGCAGAACGCGGCTTGAGGATGAAGATGCTGGCCCTAAAGTCTGACCCGATCACCTATGTTCGGAGCAGGATGAACCGTCTGCACGCACTATTCGAACGAGGGGGTAGAATTGGTGGATTTGTCGCTTCATGGTACCGGATCCGTTTTATCCCCCCCCTCTCCCCCGCTCGACGGCCGTTTTGGAGGAAAAAGTGGGCGGAGTTGGGCTGTGTCGACTGGTCTCAGAATCAAATACTATAGAAACAGCCATGATGGTGAGGGTGGTGGTCGGAGAAAGGGAAGGGGGATCGTATGAGGGAGCCTTCCAAGACTGATGGTGGTGGTAGAGGAGGGGGCATCGGGAACCCTAAAGCGGGAGATGGTCAGAAAGTTTTTGGAAAGTGCGAACACCACGGTTGACCCTGGTTGGGAGCTCCGCCCCGTCTTCGTTCCCCTCACCTATTTCTTCTCTCGTGCCCTCGTTGTCGGAGCTCTACCTAACATGCACTCTTTTGAACCTTGTAGTCTCATATAATGCCCCAGCTCACGATCAGTCATAAAGAGGGGTTTTCAACAGTTTTTGAAGTTAATTATTCTTTGTAAGGCCACGAAGCACACCGTTTCTCGAATGAGCCCCACCGCCTACAAATTATAATCGTGGAATGTGCCCCCAAACAACCGTTACTGTAGGGTACAACAAAATATGAACTTCTCAAAAATAGTTGTTTCAGGTTAGATTTCAGACTTTGCAAATCGAACGATTCGCTAGCGTTCGCGATCGCGTCGCGTACACCAATGACTCCATTCGTTGTAGGCGACGCGACCGACGCGACCGCGGACACTGACGAATTGAGCGATTCGCAAAGTCTCACATTGACAAGAACCAACCTTTAGTGACACATCTTTCCCAAACCATACATCTCCCGAAACGGTCAGATGGTCGAGTTCCAACAGATCAGGGATGCCTTGGAAACGTTTCAAAAAATCTGATACCTGAAAGTAAAAAGTGAGATTACAAATACTAAAGCGTTCTACTTTAACTGTATGACGACGTCTGCAGTCAATCAGTTATCATTTGTTGTTAGCTATTATTATCATGGTTACTATCAATCAGTTCCGATATTGATGACAATTATATCAACTATGACAGTATGCTCAAGCTAATCGATGAAGGACCTACTCGAGCAGCTTGAAGCACCATATCGCAATCATTTCAGAATACGTTTAGTACATTCTTCTTAATATTCCGAAAGAGGTGTGTGACGGAATGCCAAGATTGCGGAATTTTTACACTTGTTGTTTGCCAGTCCACTGCCAGCATTTTACTGTCGAACTCGTATAGGCCAGTAATACTTTGCATCGATATTGCATTTTACGGGAATAATTCATAAAATTTACAGCTGGTCAAATGCTTTTTTGCTTGCGACCCCAGAACCACCATATATCGGTGGACGAATTTGCAACAATGCAACCGGCAAGAGCTGACATTCATGGGAAAGGAAGTAAAAGGAAAAGTAAGAGAAAATGCCAAAAATTCATTGGAAGACATCCAATCGGGCTTACGAAAATCCACCCAGCACTCACGCAAGGATGAGTGCTCGATCAGACACGATAGCTTTCGCCACAAATGCCGCGCGTCAAGCTCCAATGCCGCCACGCCGCTGCAACCTGGATTTCCTGACCCATACCCTTTTGAAGACAAGGAAAATTTTCGTGGCAAAGTAAATGGAAAAAAAATTGAAAAAAAAACACATTTAGCAGAAGTTCCACTAGTACAGACCTTGTCAAAGCTTGATCCCAATTTCACCAGCGGTGTTGTCGGGAATGATCTGTGCTCGGAGAGCGTCAAGCTTCCGTGGTCAATATCGTAAAGATTTGACATGAGCAGCAACAAATCTGAGCATTTCTTCACTGGAAGGAAACGCGATCGTGGCACGTTGATTCCTGAAAGAGAACTGGATTTTTTGAGCCGTTTCTCTGTCAGGCTATCTAGAACGCAATTTTCCAAAAGTCAGCTATACCAGAGGAGATTTACATGATTTATCAAACATTTTAATTGATTATTTTTATTACGGTCGTTATTTCTTTGCCTCTTTCCTTTAGTTTATGGCGTATTATCCCTACTATATATAAAAGCGCTATGTCTGTCTGTTTGTGTGTGTGTGTGCGTGTGTCACGAAATTCATAGCACGCGTCGCAGCAGTCGTTAGGAGCTGATTTTTTGATATGATATAGGGGGTGGGACGGAACATATTTGGTGGGGGTCAAAGTGATAACGACTGATAAGAGCAGATAAGAGGCGCTGAAACACAAATTTCACGAAATTCATAGTGCGCTTCGCAGCAGTCGTCAGGAGCTGATTTTGGGGCATGATATAGGGGGTGGGACGGGAACATATTTGGTGGGGGTCACAAAGTGATAACGACTGATAAGAGCAGATAAGAGGCGCTGAAACACAAATTTCACGAAATTCATAGTGCGCTTCGCAGCAGTCGTCAGGAGCTGATTTTGGGACATGATATAGGGGTGGGACGGAACATATTTGGTGGGGGTCAAAAGTGATAACGACTGATGAGGACTGATAGTAACGATATGCGTACGAACGTAGAGAGCACTTGAAATAGAAAATAGAGAGCAGATTGTAGATAATGCCTTTCATTTCAATATCATTTCATCAGCGTTGTAATTGTAAACTCAAACACCTTTCGACCGCTACACCTTCTAGAGTTCTTGAGGATGAATGGGATGCTCGAATAAATATGATAATGAATACTAGGCATTCCGTTTTGAGATATTCGACCGCTAAATTACCTCGATACTCGACGCATAGTGGGTTGTTTACATCATCACTTTAGCTGTGCACTTCACTGCGCTTATCAAACAGTGAGATACAGCCAAGATGGGCAGCCTATGCAACGGACAGTAATACATTTAACGAAGCAGCTATAATTTAGCGGTGAAACCTAAAGCTTCATCGATTGTCAGTTCTATCAATGCGCGCGGTAGCGGGCGGAGCTAAACTGGTTAAGTATAAGGAGGTTGTGGATTTAATATCGCCATCCAGCCCTGGCCGAAGCAACTACGAATATCTATGGGTAACGATCACCGGCTTCAACGATAAGTCATTCCTGAATAAGTGAACTTTCAACCCTACCAGGTCGGTCGCGCGGCAATAGCCCTTCATAAAAAGAAAGGAGACAGCGCTATCAAGCGGCTGGCATCCGCATGTCGTCCTGTGAACAACTTATCGTTGAAATGACTGCCGTTCCGAGTAAAAGTCGAAGGTGCGGCGCACTTCGAGAAGTGATTGACCAAATCAAGGGTATTATATTATCATGAAAAAGCAGATGAGCAAGCATCAAGTAACCCTCTCAAGACACCGTGTAATTGTATTGACTTTCACGTGTAGTGAACTATCTAAATGGCCTTAGCCTATCTTAGTACTCCGGCTCATGAGCAATTCTAATACCATGTGTGACAGATCTTAGAAAAAGGAGAAGCAGACGGACAGCAGACAGATAGACAACGAACGAGCAGACGCACAAGTTTACGACAATGAGATGAGCACATAAACCCTACAGAATTGGTGTTTGGAACTTTTATTACGCCGTGTCATGACTGCCCATAAACACACAGGAAAAAGCGAGGGGTGCGGGTTCTAGTCCCGCCTGGGGCGAAAGTTTTGTTCACAACCCAGCATTCTTGTGAAACACAGGATAATTGAAATACAAACAAATAAATAGAATATAATCAACAAATAGATAACAATACTAAAAAAGTAAACCAATAGAAAAATAAGCGGAAAGAAGCCGCATTGAAAATAACGATAACGATAAGATGAGCTTAGTCAATAGTACTTCTGAGTCAACCAGGAAGTCAACTAACCGCATGCTCCTCGGAAGTTCTTCACGGCTGCACCAGCGGCTGTTTCCAATTGGATGATATCCACACCACGATCGAGATGTTTTGGATTGACGATCACTTCCATTTCGAGTTCATTGTTCTCCACTACTCGCTTGATCGCCGACAGCTTTGCCCATAAGTTGTTCGTGTTGAAGATTCTGTAGATATTTCAGAAATCTTTGTGATAGCCCCCAATTGAACGCTATAAATCGTCCATGCATTTTATTCTGCGGATGAAGCACTAAACGGCAGCATGGGAAGCGCAATCGCAAAACACGGGGCCTTTCTTGTCTAACGTTCGGGATTGTGCAAGTCCGTGGCTGCATACTTGTTATAAACTGGTTACGATGGTTTAGAACTCGTTGAGTTGAATGGATATTCTGTTGCCGAAGATCAACGATTCATTGCTGCGCTCCCGCTGGTTGTTTTTCTATTTGTGTTACGATCCACCCTTTTTTGGAAAGATGGCGGGGCGGACTGCAGCCCAGAAGGGACAGGGACATTGGGGAATCAAAAAATTGCTTACGCAGTCTTGTGCCTCTTTTTCCCACCTAATCTCAACATTTTTGACAGAAAAAAAAGATGTTTCACGCGTTCTGAAATTGCTATCACAGCGGCCCCCGTAAACTTTGCGACAGCGCCATTTAAAATTAACTGTTTATTCTTGTATTACTTAAAGGAAGTGGTCACGATAATTTTCATGGGAACGATAAGGGAAGCTATGTATTGGAGTGGATAGAGGTCCTGCCCAGTGTTACAACACGTGAAGTTTCAGTGGCAGTGGCGCCTTATCAACGGAGTGATAAGGCGCCGAAATCCACTTCCGTTCAGCAAAAACCAAGACTTATCGATGTGGAAAGGGTGCGATAAGAGCGTGCTAGATATGATACCGTTATCGTTATCGTCCCGTTTTCATTCTGGAGTGCACCTCTTATCAAGCAGCCGCACCTTCTTATCTCATCGTATCATATCTTCCATGGGCTTACACTCGTCCAACAATTACTGCCTCACACCTTATCGATTGATAACGCGAGGGTAGCAAATCCAGCGTGGAAGCCAGCGTGATCGCTTCCTTTAAAACTTAGCCTTGAGTGTAAACGTAAAGCAGTGGGCTCTTCTCCTCTGGACTGCAAGCACTACGAACGTGTTTCAACACAGACAAATTCACTAACATGGGCGAGCTTTACGAAATCCCCACGTATACTTGGCAATAGGCACCCTTAAAGCAGACGGCTATGGAAAAGTGGCCCCACCTCAGAAGTGAAAGGAGAGCTGCTAAGAAATGACTGACATGAAGATAAACAAGAAAAGCGCGGTCACTCGTATCATGACCATTGCTTTAACTTTGATGCGCGCTGAACGCGGCTACAAGAATGCCATGCGTGAACGTACGTGTATGCCCCTCCTATGTTCTCGAGACTGACGATAAGGAGCCAGCGTGCTGAGGCACTCACGTAGAAGGTGGAGGGGGTGAGGCGCAGCTACGAAAGTGTTTAGAATGATGGGTAAAGCCTTATCACATTCAAGCGCACCCTTCGTCGCACTGCGTTCTCTCTGAGGCTCAGCCTCCCCTCTCAGCTCGTCACTCTGAGCGATTTCCCTTTCACATTCATCATTCGTACACCTGCTTATAATAGGGCTCAGACTACCGAGCAGGAAAGAGCGCCCTGTATCCTTCCAACGAAGCTCAAAAGATGTATTGTACCTGAATTTACTGATAGATTTGAACTCGTCCACATAATCCTTTGGAACTTGGGCGATTTCGAGTAACGTAAGTCGATTCTCGTATTGGATCAATGTACCTCCTTTCACGTCGGCACGTGTTTTTGTTGTGTACCTTAAAAAGCTTTTTGAATACTAGCACAAAATTTCCAAGGATACGCCATGTCCTCGACAATGGTCCAGCATAGCAAAGCGTAGCAGCTTCCTCCTTTACAGCGAATTGAGGAGAATGTGATGCCTTTACAATGAATTGGATGGTTTATTCCATAAGGAAAGTCGAAAAGAATCAGACCTCAAAGATATAGAGCGCTGTCTTCAAAAGGACTTCACCTAAGGGACAAACTAAAGCGCTTCCGTCCACTGCACCAGCTCTTCTGAAAAGCTCTGGGGCGCTATCGCAAGATACGGGGACAATGTGGCTGAAAGAATTTGAAGCGCTGGACATTTTGTTGTTATAAATAGCACTAGGTCCAGGAGGGTAGGATATACTCCGGAACCCATAATCCAACACCAAACAATCTACTACCCCGAAATGATGGAGAGCTCGAATTAGGATATGGCAGAATTCGATCCGTGCACCGCTCATGCGCTAATGGCGCCATTCACACCGTTCCAGCTCACCGAAATTCTTGAAGAGCATTAGCCGTCGGGAGTCACCCAATCCAGAAAGCTGTGTCAAAAAATACAAACCTCCATGAGGAACTCTGGATGATCGTGACCGGCTGGTGGAGACAGGAGGAAATTCAGAATGGGAAAATCGACTGTTGCGCCCATGTTGTCGATATTGGACAGGAAGCAGTACTGAAATCACCAGAATAGTGAAATATTATAAACTCAGAAATCTCACGAAACGCCTTACCTCCTTTCCATCTGCAATAAACTTGTCGATAAGACCAGAATTGTAGAAAGGCTTCATAGAAATTTCCGTGACCGGGAGGGTACCAACTGAAAGAACCAAAATTGGAATGTAAGGATGAACACGGAAGCCTTGCTATTCAATGAAGCAATAACTTTATAGTTGGACTTCTGGGTGCTACGAGTGTGCCATTAGATCCACTTTGCCATACCGTCTCTTCTTATGTGGTGACAGCAGGGTAAAAGTACGAATCCAAGGCGAAGCACAGTAAAGTTATACGCTGACTGAGTTTTATGGTAGTAGTGACTGAACAAAATCATTCCTTGAGCATTGGTGGTTGAAAAAATGAAATTTATGCTCAAAACCCTGTTTTCAGCACGTCTTCGCGGTCGAAAAGGCGTGCTACTAGTCAAAAAGAGGTCTAGAACCGTTTTGCAAAAGTTTAGGAGCCGAAAGGATAAAAGGCAAAACTAGCGTACTCATCAAGGATTCGAACCTCCATCTCGAGTCCCCAAGTCCATCCGCTTACCAACTGCGCCACCGAAGCACATCCCCGTTGCGGCTCCAGTGACTCATGAACGCACTCTCCGCCGATAAACGATTTCGCAACTTCGTTCAGAGAATCGTTTAGCAGATTTGGAGGGCAGATTCGAATTCAGCGTCCCAAGATTGGTACAGAAATATGCATCCCATCCTGAAAGGCCATGTCGAGGTGGGATCCTTTCCTTGTAGGCATTTATCCAGAGCGTCACGGAGGAGTCTTTAGCATCGATAAAGGACTTGCCATATTTTTGCCGCTGTAGCCAATCGACGTCCAGAACCTAAGGCAGCACCATTCATCTCAATCACGAACACCAAACTTTTTGTCCTAATGATCTCACTCTAAACTATGCGGAGTGCTGGCAACATAAACTCATACAAATCGCTAGATACCGTGCATACGCGTTGTCCACTGTTCCCACGTAGGCATTAAAACACTCGAGGACGCCGCCCTTAGCCTAAAGCAACAACCCCACGTAGATCTATACTTTTTCTACTAATGGAGCCAAAAAGATGACTGAGCTCTAGTCGAGAACATATGAAGTGTCTCCAGGGCAAAAGCTGCCCTTAAAAAGCCGTTATGAGGAGTTGGAAAGGTGCCAATTTTGGTTCGTCCGCGTTTTGGTCGGCACACCCGTTTGTTAGCCGTGAATATCATGTGATTGGCTAAGCAGCAATGCGTAGCGACTAACCAAATACGCGCGGGAGGTTAGTGGAGCCGTGGAGCAATCAAGTCCAGAAAACTCGTCCGGCCCCGCCCTTTTCTTATTGCAGGGAGGAGGGGAGGGTATATTGTAAACAACGTTGTCGGCGGTTTGCAGTGGTTCTTTTTTTGCTTTCAGTCAGTTCGACACCCACTTTTATATTACCTACCACTTTTACCCACTAATTTGATCTGGGTTTGTTGCTTCACCTCCCACGCACAAACTTAGCAGAGATGGAAAACCCACAGAAGCCACTACTGGTCCAAGAATTTCAAATACATACTATAAATATAATACTATAAATACTAAAACTTTAAATACTTTTTCTGAATTAATACAGTAACCAGAAACTAACCATTCCTGATCGTTATCGTTGAGTGATTTTGCGATTGGCATAAGAGTTTCGCGATTGATACGTGGATATTGCGATTGGCAGAAGGTGTGCACGGAAACCTGCAAGAATACGGTACCAACTGAGGCTACTGTAGGCATATGTAGAGCCCTAAAATATCGCCAACCTTGACATTTGCGTACTTCTTTAGTACTTTTTTGGTGTCTTCTTCGGTATTGAATGAGTTCATCAGCACCAACGGCACATCAACGTTGAATGTTTTGTTCAAGGTCTGAAATAGGTACTGTATTCTGCAGAAGTTACTTGGCAGAACTCCAACTGATACCTGAATCTGCTGTAACGTCAAGTCGAGGAAAGTCAGCTCATTTCTCACGGGGATCACCGACTTCGGGCCTTTACAACCCATTGATGTGCCAAGACCTCCGTTCAGCTTCACCACCACTAATTTGTTCAACATTGACGC